TTTTGAAATATATAATATAATATTTCTTTTTCCTGAAAGTATGTTAGCTGATGTGTTATATTTTTATTAGTAGGATGTAGATATTATAGTAATATATTAGATTTTTTCTTTTTAGAGGGTATATTCGCTAATGTCTCAATTTAATATAATTATGTCACCTAAAACATCTCAATTATTTAATTATAAATAAATAATCAGTTTTTTTTTCATTTTACGAGCATAATAATTGAAAATTACGAATTTAGTTGATGATAGATACGAATGGCAAAACGGGTTGGCCCGTCAAATGTGGGTTGGTCCGCCCCACGTCGTCTTTTGAATGTGAGTTGAAAACCTCAATCTGTCCCGTTTTATGGTGGATTGACGGGTTAATCCTCTTAAAAAATAAAAAATAATAAAAAATAAATTATATTTTATTAATATTATAGTATTACTTATTTGAAAAAAATATTTGTCCTTTTAAATGACACAACTTATGTCATTTCACTCTCACAAAGAAGTGGAACTCACACATTTAATTTTTTTGTCCACTCTCTCTCTTCCTTTATCTATCTCTTTTTCTCACTTAAAATGACACAACTTTACATCCTTTAAAATAATACACATTTTCTACTTATTTTCATATTACATTTCCCATAGTTTTTTTTTCCTATCTTAAGCCTAAATGTATTCTAATATTAAGTCATACATTCTTTACAAGCTTATTTTTATCTCCATATATAGATTATTTTTATCATAAATAAAGTTTTTCTTCTTTATTTTTTCAGAGAGTACTAAGATAACAAAAAATTAGATATCAAAAAAGTTTAAAGACAAATAAAATACTACCTAATAGTAAAAAAAATAAAATAATTTTACCCTGCGGGACAACCCGCCCGACTCACCGCTAACCCGTTTTGACCCACAACCCAACGAGGCGAGTTGTGGGTTGAAATGTGTAACTCCACCCGTTTCGTTTTGACAAATTGACAGGTTTACCATTCGAATTCAATTTATATTGTCACCTCTAATGATAGATTTATTAAAAATTCAAATATGAGTAATAAAATCTTATCATTTTAAAATTTTGAATTGAAACATGATATTGAGCCTATTTATTGTGATGGATTATTGCTAAGCTCAATAATAATAGTTTTTCCCTATCGTGGGCGACCCCTGGTCTTGTAACTCTGGTTTCAAAGTCAATTGTGAATCAGTCTGATTGATGCAATTCAATGAATTTTTAAATAAACATGGACTTCACTATTAATTACATAAAGATAGACTAAGTAAGAATCATATCAGATGTTGGACCTCTAACTCTAGTTTCAAAGTCAATTGTTAATCGTTTTGGCTTGACATAATTCAATGAATTTTAAAATAAAACATGGATTTCACTATTTACAGTTGGATAGACTAAGTAAAAATCATATAAGATGCGGGATCTATAAATCTAAGGGGACGTTTGTTATAGGAAATTTTTTTTTTTATCCGAAAAATAATTATCATCAGAATGTAGTTGCAAATATATTTTACTGAAATATTATTAAAAAATTGTTTGGTAGACTCATATTTTTCCGAAAAAATATAATTAATTTTACTAAATTTATGTTTGGTTGTTATAAAATATTAGTGGAAATATAAGGTTATTTTAACAAAATAACCCCATTTACTTTGATTCAAAAAGGTCTGTACTTTATCCCATTTATTAAAAAATGGTACAAACCAAAGGGTAATAATCCTACAAACCATAGGGTAAAGTGATATATCACTTGGTGGGTCACTTTTTATATCACTTGGTGGGTCACTTTTTACTTCCAGTGGCAACAAAACATTCCACCCAATCTTTAGCATTCCACTTATATGGATGGTACATAAAATTACACACAAAAGCTATTTCCAGGAAAAAAAATTTATCTGAAAAAGTTTGGTGTTTTTTCATACCAAACATAATATTGTTATTTTCCCTATGATGCTTTCCAAGAAAATTACAAAAAAAGTCTGGTACCAAACACACTCACCGCAAAAAAAACATGGATTTTACTATTTACAGTTGGGATAGACTAAGTAAAAATCATATAAGATGCGGGATCTATAAACCTAAAAGTTAAAAGTTTTATCCATTTATCATAATGGATTACCGCTTAATACATTGATTATAATTTTTTCCATACTATGAGCTCTGCTCACTGCGTAACCGTATCTGTGAAATTAAAAATTAAAATACGAGAGAATGGACGCCTTCCCTATTACTACTCATTCTAAAGCTTTTTAAATCTTGAAAGTGATTTCGAGAGCAAACCACCTATATTGTCATCTAAACACTTGCATCTTGTATGTCAGCTACTGGGTTGTGCTATGAATTGGTGAGCTTCTAAAGGCTGGTGAGGTTTATTAAAAAAAACAAAAAAAAAAACTTGTACTTAATAGCTTAGAGAGGCTTGAAATTTAAATAATTAGAATAGTGAAGTCTCCGTTGATTTGCTGAGGATTGGACGTAACTGATCACATAGTTTTATGATAAACCAATATAAATTTGTGTTATCTTTTTTCTATTTATTTGTTTTTGTTAAGATACATAGTCTCACATTGATTGTATGAGCAACTAATGTAAAGTTTATAAAGCTTTGGGCACTCCCACCCACCCTTCGAGCTAGCTTTTGGGGTGGTGTATCCCAAGGTTCTTTACATGGTATTAGAGCTTGAGTGACTATAAGGTCACAAGTTTGATCCTCCTCACCGCCTCCCACTTTAAAGTAGAATTAAAATAAAAAGCACTAAAAGGTAAACCAAAAATTGGGCCTGAGCATAATCCACGCTTCAAGCCCAATGAGCTCTCGCGTGATGGGGCGTGTTGATATATATAGTCCCACATTGGTTGTATGAGCAACTAATGTGGAGTTTATAAGGTCTTGGGCACTCCCACCCTTTGAGCTAGCTTTTGGGGTGGTGTATCCCAAGTAGGGGTGAAAGTGGGCTGGGCTGGGCCAAGCTTTGCTCCGAAAAGCCCAAGCCTACGTTAAAAAAAATTAATTTGGCCTGGCCCAAGTCTAGTATGAGTCTAACTGTTAGCCTGGTTTGACCCATTTATAAAAAAACAAATGGCCTAACTTGGCCCGTTAGCCTGTTAATTTTTAACTTCCAAGCAGAACCATAAATCAACTTTACAAAGTACTCAAATTATGTTGCTACACCAAAAATCATAATTTCAACGTTCAAACAGAATCATGAATCATAACAAAACTCATACAGTATGCATTTAAGTTATTTTCAAAAGCAAAATGCTCAAACTAAATAACATATATTTCGTCAGATCTAACCAACAAATTCATACTATGTAAATTAAAATAACTACATGAATTCAACAAACACATCATGATGCTTGTAGTAAGTACAACCTCACCCAATTTTTTTTTAATATATTCATATACACAATCTAACATGTTGAGATGTTGGTTCCTCTTATATAAAAAATAAAGTAAGATTTCTATTAAAATATAATCGAATATAATTAAGTTATAAATAATTGCAATTGATTAAATTTATATCTTTTGTTTTTTCTTCAAGGCATACTTATTCTATTTTATTTTATTCAAAATAAATAGTACAATATAGGTCGGCCTGTAGGCTTATAGGCCCGGCCTTTTGAAAGTGGGCCTACGGCTTTTTTATTAAACAGACTTTTTTAAAGCCCAAGCCCAGCCTATTATTCAAAATATACTAGATCAGGTTTGGCCTGATGTAGGCCGAGCCGTAGGCCCCTGTAGGCCGGCCCGTCCCAGTTCCACCCCTAATCCCAAGGTTCTTTACATAGTATCAGAGCCTCGCCTTCCCCAACTTTCTCTTGTGGAGTTTCTTAGCACAGGTACACTAGGCCTATTGCATTGTCCACTCTTCAAGCCCAATGAGCTCTCGTGTGAGGGGGCGTGTTGAGATATATAGTCTCACATTGGTTATAAGGCTTTGGGCAATTCCACCTTCAGAGCTAGCTTTTGGGGTGGTATATCCTAAGGTTCTTTACAGTTTTCATCTACCAGATTCTTAAACAACAAACTTTTCTGTAAACAATCTTTCTTTGTGACCTTTTTCAACCAATAATTACAACTACAGTATCTGAGAAGATTCGCTCAGTTGAATCTACTCATCACTTTTTTAATGTGTTGTTGTTGTTAAAGAATCATTTCAACCCAAAACTTTAGGGTGTTGTGTAAGGCCCTTTTTATTAGTTTATATTATTTTCTTTTCTGTAAACAATCTTTCTTTGTGACCTTTTTCAACCAATAATTACAGCTACAGTATCTGAGAAGATTCGCTCAGTTGAATCTACTCCTCACTTTTTTAATGTGTTGTTGTTGGTAAAGAATCATTTCAACCCAAAACTTTAAGGTGTTGGGTAAGGACTTTTTTATTAGTTTATATTATTTTCTAACACATTCCCTCACGCAAGAGTCCTGAGCTTGAAATATGGATATTGCATAGACCCAATTTTTTGTTTATCTTTTTATGCTTTTATTTAATTCAATTAGAAAGTGAGGGGCGTTGAGAATCGAACTCGTGATTTTATGGTCACTGAAGCTCTTGATACCATGTTAAAGAATCATTTCAACCCAAAATCTTAAAGGTTTTGGGTGAAGACCTTTTTAATGGTGTATATTATTCTATAATAGTTCTTAAAACTGCTCGATCTTGATCTGAAGATTTGCGGAAAACTTGAGACAAATCTTTATTTTGCAGAAATTTCATGAGTTAAATATGCAATACAACCCCTCTTCCCGTGTATTTTACCTACTTCATAGCAATAACCAAACATCCATAAATTAAGATTGATATCCCCATAAAAATTGAAGTGAAAGCTCTAGGAATGAATTTAATATATAACAAATTCACTCTAATTTTATTTTAATCCCCTTAATTTTAAAGGGCATGTCTACACAACTAGATATTATCTAATCATAATGACATAATTTACAGAAAAATAATCTCAAGCACACTGTACAAGATTCATACATATACGTACATATCTACACTCCAATGCCCTCTATACATGTTTTTGTCATTTCCTTAATAACTAAACCTCTTGCTCTGTTAATCGTCACAAGGCCCAAGTACACATGCTCTTCAAGTTCTTCCACTTGTTTCTTAAACCCAACATCACTTTTCTTAATCTCCTTAACAATTTGCACAGAGAATTTATCATCTTTCCTGTCCAAACAGAATTGCACCATTGCCCTGTTATGTTCAATTTCATCATGCAGCCTAGTTACAAGTCTACTCATTGTATCAAAGTCTCTATTCAGTATATAAGTTCCCTTGGCTGCTATATCAAGTTGATCAAGAACTTTTCTAAGAAACCTACTTCTTGGAACCCTTAAGCACAGAATCTTCCTCTTAAGACTCTTGAATGGGAAGCTCAGAATTGCTGGCCCCATGATTAATGCTGTTAAAGTATGTAATGCTATAATAGTGGCTGTAATTGCAACTAAGCCACAAGCTGCTGTAACACAAATTCCTGATGTCTTTTTCAAATACTTCATTATCTTAATTTTCCTTCCCACCTTTTTTCTCATTGATTTCAAATGGTGCAATACTGATGAAGACTTATCACTAATGAGCTTAAAGTCATGATTGTTAAGGTCTGAAAATGGGTTACTTGAGAAGATGAATGAGTTAAGCTCAGAAATGATTAGTTTGAACTTTTCTGGAGAGTCACCTTCCATAATGTCTAGTGCTCTTTGAATGAACTGGTAATTAAACTGGACTTGGTTGATGCTTTTGAGAAGATGGCTGCAAATGAGGGAAGCCTCAGCACTGATGTCAAAGTAACTAAGCATGAGATTTTTCAGTTCTGGTGTTTTTGAAAGGATTGCTGCATCAACAATAGAAGGTATGGTTTCTTGGCCTGGTTCAAGGAGGATTTCTGAAAATTTATTCTGGTTGGAATAAATGGAAGGTTGGTTTGCAATTATTTGAGCTTTATTTAAGAAATCAGCATAGGATTTTGTTCTTAAAGCCTTGTGGTACTCCTCACGGAAGTTGATGCTTTTTTGGGCATCTCTAATTTCCTTCACATCTGAAACCAGAAATTTCAAATATCAAATATAATGTATCAATCACAACAACTGATTAATTCTTGAACGATAACCATTCCCTATTAAACTGATGAGAATAATCCTTGTACATTTTCTATTAAATTCCGACCAGCAAAGATAGGGTGAGGATAAACCTTATACATATCTTTACATTTGTATATTTGCAAAGATACTATTCCTCAAATTTAAGCTCATGATTTTATAATCACAAAAGATCAGTTTTACCACGATTCGAAACTAGTCTTTTTTAATGATATTGTACTAAATATGACATACGAAAATAATGCAGAGTACAAAGGTTGGCAATCTGAGAAGTTATAGTTCTTCAATCAACATGAACAAAGTTTAAAGACTTCCAACAAAGCAAAATCACAAGAATCACAAAGCACCTGATGTTTAAGGGTTGAGGAATGGTAGATAGAAAGAAACTTGAAGCTTGACCAATTAACAAAATGACATACAACTTAGTTTACATTCATCAATTTAGGATTACGCATAGAATAAAGATAACTTCAGTTTTTGAGAAACAATACCAAGCTTTTCCATTAAAATCAGTCATCCTTGGCGTTTGATTACGAAAACGAAAATATTTTGGTCCAGAAAAGGCTGCAATGTACTTCCATTTCATGCCAGGAATATTTTGGTTGCTATTAACCATATTTAATTAGCATATAACGTTTTCCTTACATAAACCAGTTTAATTTCAAAGCTTTCTTCTTATTATTCTCCCCTATATCGAATAGATGAAAAAATAGGTTTGGTTATGCAAAGTTTTCCCTAATAAGGACAAACTTGTTTTTATAAAACACGAGCATGCACCACCGAACACGTCGATCAATTGGAGGTGAGTTGTTCCCACTTAGCTAGTGGTTTTGAATTCAAGTCTTGGGTACGCAACTGAGTTAAAACTTGGTCGAATTCGAACTAGTCGGCACACGTTCACGACAGGATACTGGATGGTTTATACCAAAAAAAAAAAAAAAAACTATCTTGCTTTGTATAACGCTAGCTTTAACCTGACCCGTTACAAGGATTTCAAAGAAGATGCAAACGTAATTGCAAAAGTGAAAAACCCGAAGTCATAACAACATACCTTGGCTAACCTTACAACAAGCTCTTAATTTTGCCAACATAGTTGGTTGATCTTACGAACAAACTTGACGTCGAAAAGCTAAGAAAGGAAGTTAATAATTATATGAACAAACTTGGTTCTCAATCACTTAAGGCCTACATATTATATATATCATGCAATTTCTCATCACCCCAATTAATCTTTTCTTGTAGTGTTTTATAAGAAAGAACAATGAATCAATGATTCATAAAGAAACTAATCAACTTTCTAGGTAATCTGTTGAAGTTGATACATTTTTGCAGTTTGCTTATAAAGCCTCTCGTGGTCGTTACAATAATTCAAGTTTAAGCTTTCCTTTTGATATATTCCTTTCTGTTCTCATCTACAATGAGATAGAGATAATAATTACTTTTCCTAGTTGTTTGCAAGTTTTAATGCTGAAATCCCTTTTGTCCTGAGAGCTTTTTCCTTTCTTTCAATTTGCTCCTCTCTTTTTTATGTTTTGTCCTATTTTAGTTACATAATTTCGCAAGCTTACACCACTTTTTTTTTAGTACATTAAACTTACACCACTTTAATTTAACCTACATGTGTATGCATTTCTAAAGAAGTGCAATATAAATGTCTGAATTAAATTACCATTACACCCTTTCTCTCTTTATTTATTTTCTTTAATGTCAATTATCCGTTATATCTATCTACATATATATACTTATGTGCGTTGCTATGTAAACAGAAGCATTTTTTAAGATGACATGTTTTCTCATTAAATTTTATCTAGCAAAGAACATTTACAAATGCATGGAATGTTATATTTACAAACATTTTGTTTACGAACTCTTACAAACTACATTATGTATGACCGGTCATACTTTAATCAAGAGTGTATGACTGGTCATACTTAGTGTAATTTGTAAAAAAAATTTGTAAACGGCTCCTTCCCTATAATAGGGAAGGTTATATTACAAATTTTTTGTTTACAAACTACACTATGTCTGACCGGTCATACTTTAATCAAGAGTGTATGACTGGTCATACTTAGTGTAATTTGTAAAAGAAGTTTGTAAACGGATACTTCCCCGTAATATATATAGGTGATAAGTTAATAAATGCAAGAAAATTACAGAGTAATAATATAGGAGAAGATTATATTTACAAACTTTTTGTTTATAAACTCTTACAAACTATACTATGTCTGACCAGTAATACACGTTTGAGTAGAGTATTACCAACGGATTCTTCCCAAATAATATAATGTAATGAAAAAGAAACATTTTAGAAATTAAAGCAACAAGAATATGGACAGGCTGCTCAAAATAATTGAACCGAACCAAATTGAGTTGTATTTTCTTGGATTAGTTTTGAGAACTGATTTGGAAAATCAGTACAAAATTGGTTGGTAAAAACTAAAATCGGTTCAGACTAAATAAAGCAGTTTGATTCTTTGAATTAAATCGATTTAAACCAGTTCAATTTGGTTGAGGAATAAAATCAATTCGGGTCGAATCATGTATATCACCGCCCCTCGAACCTAGCTCAAAGGGTAAGAGCAACTAAAGTCTTATAAACCCCAGATTAATTGTCTATACAATCAATAAGAGACTTATAACATTATCAATCCCTTTAAGAACTGGCGACTATGGAAACTTTTATTCTATCGACACTGATCAGATAGTAGTCCTTTTCGTTTTGGCGGCTTCACTCACTTATCAGTATTCAGTACAACATCTCTTTGGAAAGTATTAACACCTTAATCCAGCTTATAGGTAGCCTGTGGCCTCAACTCTCAACAAAAGCACCAATTGTTATGCACCTTGAGGTCACCATCTCAAAAGCTAGCTCAAAGTATAAGAATGTCCAAATTCTTATAAACCACGCATTAATTATCTATACAATCAATACGATACGAGACATGTAACATTGTTGCATGGCCATCTCCAGCTGTATTGCAAATCTGCCTAAATCAATCTCTAAACAGGAGTTTTACACACCTCTCAACATCTGTTTATTGTCTTATTATCATGCAAGCAAATGTGCTGGCCCCATGGTATGTATAGCTTCGAGGGAAAAACAAAAAAGTCCTAACTTATAGTTCAGTGACCTATATATATTGTCATCATTAATCAGAACAACTACTCAATCAATGATTATTACTTTTGATTTTGAATCTCCTTTTGTCTCTTGAATCAACTAATCATCTCATCATTATTATCTATATTTTTCCATTTGAAATAGACTACAAAGATGTGGATAGAAATAAAATAGTCTTGTAATATAAGCACAAAACTAGTTTTGAGAAACCAACAATTCTGTCTTACTTCTCCAAGCAGGTATCAATTATCAACATTCTCAAAATGGAAAAGCAAAAGCAAGTATCGTATGTAGTTAAATTAAGATCTTATCGTTATCAATTTTAATATTTTCTATGAAAGGCATTGGTCAACAAATGTTTGAAGCAAAAGGGTCAAACAATGACCGTCAACTTAATCCTAACATTGCCAAATCATAAATGTAAAAGACCCAGGTGAACCTTCAAGCTCATATGATGATAAAATCGTCCTTTTACCATCGAAGAATGAAACTTTTTTATGAGGTTGTTTTTTTTTTTAAATCTTATCCAAAAAAATTAGATCTAGATAGAATGGAACTAACATCAGATATAATATATAAGATTATTAATATAACATTTATTTAATAATTTTAAGTTTTTGAATTGAAATAATGTTTTTATAAATTAGATCACTTACAACTTACTTTGTCGTTTAAAACATAGTTATTAAAACCGGACAGACCCGGCCGGGTCGACCCGGGAACTGGTAAACCGGTCATATAACCGATCCGGTTAAAGTAACGGACCAGCCATGCATCAGAACCGGTGCGACCCGGCCGGTTTTCATAAAAAACGGTGACCCGGTGACCTGGCTCGGTCCTAATTTTTTTTTTATAATGGACATATTTGAATATTTTTTTGCTTATTGACTTACATAAGTTATGTACCTACAACACTAATATTATCTCAATTGTGCATTATGCAGAAAATTTTGATTTGATTTATAATTAGAGATATCATTTTTTGAATTTAAAACTCCGTATCACGATCATTATATTTTTATTTGATCTTTTATTGGATAATAATATGTGATTTATTATTTTTTATATTAAAATATTCGAAATATTTATTATTTTTTTTAGATATTTGAGTATATTTATAATTTTTTAATATAAATTATAAAATTGCATATAATTACCGGGTCATGCGGTTGAACCAGTGACCCACTGACCCAGTACATCGATCAGGTCAACGATCGGGCCGGTTTTAATAACATTGGTTTAAAACCTTTTGTCTAGAGGTGACAATATGGGTTGAGCTCGATGGGTCTACCCGTCAAAACAGAGCGGGTTGGGTTGAGATTTTCAACCCACCAACTCACTTCAACCCGCCCCGCCTAGAAGTTGATCAAAACAGGTTCAACCCGCCGCAGGGCGGGTTGACCCGTCGGGTTATAATTTTTTTTTTTTTACAATTAGGTAGTATTTCATTTATCATTAAATTTTTGTGATATCCAAATTTTTGTTATCTTCGTACTTCCTCGAAAAAATAAAGAATTACAATTTTATTTATGACAAATGTTATCTATATAAGGAGACAAATGAGTTCTGAAAGAATATTTGACAAATATTAGTATACATTTAAGATTGAGACTAAAAAAAATTAAGAAAAATGTGAAATAAAATAAAATAATATTAGAAAATTCATAAAATATAATTTATTTTTGAATTTTAATTAAATTTTTTTTAATTGGCGGGTTGGTGGATTGACCCGCCAACCCACCATAAAAAAGAGTGAATTTATTTTTCCAGCCCATATTTAATGGCGAGCCAACCTGCCCTGCCTCATTTTTTACGTATTGGTAGCGAGTCGGGGCGGGCCAACCCAAATTGCCACCCCTACTTTTGTCGCTTATACAAATTGAAAAATTATTCTCTCTTTTTTAAAACTCTTTTATTTCTAGAATTAATCAAAATTCTATAGAAATTCAATTAATGAAGATATTTAGAAAATCATCATTTAGAAGGAGGAGCTAGTTAGGAATGATTTAGGTTAGCAGTGTCTATCAAAATCCAAGTCAATTTTTCTTTTCTCCATTCTGTTTTTTTATCAGTTTCTTTCTCGAACAAAAGAAACATGAAAAAAGAAAAACGAAAGAAGACATGTGAAACACAGTCAAGGTGGAGCCTCCACAATGTGATAAGTGATAACTCACAAAATCAGTAAACGACATGAGTCATGCATAGAAGCAACCCTTTTATGGAGGGTCCTATAAACAAGAAACTCAAGCAAGCCATATATGAGGATATGATTCCTTAAGAGAAGAGACTCATTGAGTAAAAAGAAAGAGAGAAAGGAAAAAAGAAAGAAAGAAAAACAAAGGGAAAAAAAATGCATTATGCGTGTGCGTGGAGAGTTCAATTTGTGATGAAGGGTTTTAGGCATATCTGATTCAATTCACTAGAGTCCACTCCAACGTGCCTAATGTGCTTCATCTACATCCACATTTCTTTGCTCTCTCAATCTCTCACATTTGTAACGTCATTTTTATGGATTAGGATGGCAATAACTGTATGAAACACGTGGAATTCAAGATATTAATTTGGCCATGTTTGCCAATTTAGCTTGAAAATCACAATAGGCTAAATGCATCAATCATCAGGACTTGTGAGGCATTCTTCCCTTAAGCATGGTTTCATCTTTATCTTTTAGACGTCTGGCTGAAACCCCATGCACTCAAGGACATTTTACAGTTAGCTATTCCACACATACGTCAAAGAACAAAATAAATGTAGGAGAATTTGGTTACGCGGAAGTGTTTTAGACCATTGTGATTTGGGATGTAATGGATTATCATTGTTTACAATTATCTCTTGTAGCGCAGATCTAGGATGATACTCACAAATCGGTGTCCTTTGTATCACAGCATGAACTTATGAACTGATCTCTTATGCGTTACAGCACGAACATATATCTCTAGGTTCTGGTAAACCTTCCAAGCTATCTCTCGA